TTGCAGAGCCATGGCCAGGAAACTGACACGGCTTTGCTTCCAAAAGTGCTGAGAGCCACGTGGCTGCAAAGTGCGAGTGATTTGCATCTTCTGGGAGTGGGCCTCCTGATGTTCTCTTGTTCATTTCAGCTGTTCGGGTATGTGTGTGCAGAAGAATCACAATAATCGCCAGAGCAGAAGTCGCAACCGTTTCGGTTGTTCATGTCCGAACCATGGCTAGGCTTGGCACCGCATTCAGTTGGCACTGCTATTGCTTCCATGTGCTGTGTTCGCAACCACTCCTTTCACGATGAGGTCTTGGTCCAGCCCACGGCACTGGCATTCTGCAAGAGTGCCTACTTCTGCTTGCAACCGTTCAGAAACTTCCAAGCTGCTCAGGCTTCCGGGTTTGTCGTGGTCTAGGGCAAAACTAAATACAGTGTCTGCACGCCCGGTTCATTTACTTCTCTCACCTCTTGTGAGTCGTAGGTGCAGGAGGACGTGGTGCCGGGTGGAAATATGAGGTTGAGGCTGACAGTGGCGACCCAATGGGACGATGTCATGGGTAGGACCTTGTCTTCGGCCTTTCGTGCCGAGAACTTGCGGGATCTCTTGCAAGGGGTGGATGAGGACAGCCAGGACGAAATTCTCACAAAGCATTTCGAGTTCGCCATCCGCACTTTGAAACAATTCTGCGAGTTCAGCATACTGTTCTCTGCATTTCCTTGGCGGTTCTGTCTTCTCCAAGAGGAGCAGTACTGCAGTCAGGTGCTGCAGGAGATGCAGCGAGAATGGGAGCTACTGCTGCGGCTGGAAAGCCATCCCAACGCCAGCACTACGTGGCCCCTGAACCAAGTTCACCAGGTCAGGTGGCACGTTTACCGCGAGGTGATGACCTTTGCTGAGGAGCGATCATGGGTTATGTGCCCACAGATTTTGGCCTTGGCTCGAGCCTGGGATTCCGATCCATGCTCGACATTGTCGGTCGAGAACAGCTTCAGGTCATTGAGACGTGGAGAAAAGAATCAGGATGGACCTGCCTCGGCACCGCAGCTTCAAGCAATTTCCATTCGATCCGTGAATGAAAGATTTCAGAAGTTTGAGGTGATCGAGCCCTCCCCGAGCGACATCCACACAGTGCCGGTGTCCCAAACCATGAAGGCAGGAGTGTGGGACTCCAGACGCTGCACTGGACAAGAGACAGGCCTTGGCAACTTCAGTGGCATGGTGAAAGCCACGGTTCCGAGTCCTCATTTCCTGACACGTCGCTCACTCAACCTGTGGGCGGAGATGAAGCGAACTGACGGCGACTTGCAACGTGCATGGACGGCGGAGCTTGTGCGGCCCGGCCAGGTACCCCGCCTACAAAATATACAGACTCCATGTTGTCGTGCAGCGGCTTGCATGTGAGGGACATGCACGTCTGTCACACGTTCGGGCTAAGGTGCTGCAGGACAGAGAGTCCTCGGCCTTGGTCGTCGATGCCCCATTTGTCGTCGTCAAGACGTTGCCCTTGAAGCGGGATCAGATGCTCATTGACGGCCGCGAGGCTTCCGTTGCTGAGATTGAGCTGGAGGGCCGCTTCCAGCTGCAGGCCCATGTCATAGAAACAATAATGACAAGGGAGCTGGAACCATGCATGTTCGTGATCTCCGGTCGTGTTCAATATTACTGTACTGCTGCAGTTTTTCGTTTTCGTTTCGGCAGCGGTCCTATGTTGCAGACATCCCGTGTGTTCCGTGAAACACGTCAGGCGATGACTCCATCCTCCGTGGTGGAATGCAGTGTCCTCGAGTACAGGCCCCTTTTCGTCGACGGGAAATTGATTCTCAAGCTTGGCGAGGCCAGGCCACTCGTGAACCATGCGATTGAGAATTATGCCAGTCGATGCTCGGACATTTCGTGATATTTCTGTGCGAAGTGGTAGGAAACTCTTCTGTTTGAGACTTGGAATAAACTCAGGACTCTCTGCAAATGCTCTCCGCAGATTGTGCTCGGAATCCGGATGTGCCATCAAGGGAAATGCCACGAAAAGATTCTGTTGCGAGACACTTCTTCGACATCTTGAGTATTCAAAAGAAAAAACCGAAAGCATCTTGAAGAATTTCAAAAAGAATCAGCCGGACGAGGACGAAGAGGAGGGCGACGACGACGCGGCATTCGACGGCATCTTGGGAGTGGATGCGGCTTGCGAAGCAGCTTTGTTGAGCAGGCTCCTTAACAAGCTTGAGCTTAAAGAGCAGGAAGCAGCACCGTCCGGGGCAGGATCTGCCGAGGCAAGCTCCAAGAATGATTCATCGTCGAGGCCTCCTGGGAGCGAGAACAGAACATCGTCCGTTGCCCCTGATTGGTCTCTCGGGGACCGTGGAGCGAACGAGGATGTTTCGTTGAACGATGTTGTTCTTCCTGCTGGCTGCCAGATTTCCTTGAAACGGCCTCCGAATGCTTCTCCGTACATTCAAGCTTTTCTGCCCTTGAATGTTCATTGGAAGAACAAGAATAGCATCTCCCGAGCATTTCGCCCACAGACTGCATCCGGATCGGTGCCATCACGTGCCTCTCGAAGCTTCGAGATTGCAAAAGCTGAGGTGGTAGCATGGCTTGCTGATTGGAAGGACAATGCAGGCTCCGAGTGCACAGTGTCGGAGCCGGCTCCGAAACGTCCGAGATCTTGAGTAGTTTTTTTTAGTAGTTTTTTTTCGTGACGTGTGCCATGGCAGTGGCAAGGGCACTGAGGCCAATAGAACATGTCATGTCACACACAAGCACAATGCTACGGACGAAAACATACCTGTATATACGTGTCTACATACATGCATGTTTTTATACACACATAGAAAACGCACCCGCGCCAAACACAGAGGCACACACGCACAGACACACGTAGACACACACACACACAGACACTCCCGCACAGAGATACAGTACGTACAAAACCAAAAATAAATACACACTTCAGAAAGAAACAAACACAAATGCAAACACACACACACAGACAAACCGCCCATACACCACACACACACACACACAAAATATACGCAACACACCGGAAACAAACACACGCACACGCACACGCACACATACGTTTACACGTACACGTACACCCACACACACCCACACACACGCAGACACACGTACATATATCTATCTATGTCTAGGTCTGTTCAAAATTTAAAAACATGTTTATGTCTATTTCTATGTCTATTTTTATGACTATGTCTATGTCTATGTATATGTGTATGTATATGTATATGTATATATGCCCATGTATACACACAGAAGCACACACGTACCAAACATGCCAACACATGTGCAAAGACATACACAGAGGTTCGTTTTAGCGGTTGCATGCCACTTGTCGTGTGCTCACTTCGGGCCCGCATGCCGCAAGCCCTGTTGTACCACAGTGTGCATTGACTTCCAGTGTTGGGCAGCTGAAATTAAAAGATGAAAACAAGGCTGTGCGGCTTGAAGACCCATTCTGCCGCATGAATGGGTCGCAAACAGTATCACCAGACTCCGATCGCCAGGGGAAAATGTTGGACACCTTCGGTTGGATCTCAAGTGCTGCGACGTGCGTGCACATGCAATTGCAAGGTGGCATCGTAGGTTGGACATGAATCGAGACCAGCCGTGCCGAGGCCAGGAAGGCAGAGGTATCGACGACGTCTGAAAGATGATGTGGAGGACGGACCCCCCAACCACGAATCGGACAGGGTTTAGGGTTTAATGGTTTTGGGCTTACAGAATTTTATCGCGAGGTCATCTTTGCCAGGATTCGCGATCCTTAACCCTTAAACTACTAAAACCCTCAGCTTCAAAATTCCGAGGTTCAATCCTTAAACCTGGCTTTGCCAATCTCGGTGTCGGGTCTCTGCAATAATGCTGTGCAGGGGCAGTGTCACAGTGTGTGGCACGCAGCTTGCCAAAACTTAAATCCCGAACCCAGTTCTAATGGAATTTTCATATGCTTCCACCTTGGATGCTACAAGTCCAAATCCTGAAATCTGAAATGCAATCACTACTGCTGCCTCACAAATTGTGCGAACCAGATCGCTAACAGAACCTAGTTATTCGCCGAACAAACCCCGAAATGTACCGTAATGTAGAGCCCCCTTTGGGTTCAACAGTGTTGGGTGCATTCAATCAGATATTCGCACTTGAGCTGGATTGCGGCAAACCAAAGCATTTGATCTCGCCCAGGAGCCGGTGACTGGACGGACATGCCCGTTGGCTGGGCATAAAAAAGCAGTGCACAAGCTCAAGCTGCCATTACGTTTCATTAAGACGAATGTCTAGCAATGTGTTCATGGCCTCGGCCGATCTCCAACAATTGATCTCAACGACAAAGTGGTGAAGTATGGCTATCCCTAGACCATTTGATGTGGATTTCTCGTTTGGAATGCTCTCGTGTGTTCTTTGTTACGTCACCTCCAGTAGTCCCATCATATCCATCTCAACTGACAACCTAAGTTCAATCAAAAGATATGGACGCTGCAAAACATCCCTTGCCTTCAGCTCTTTTTGCATTTTTGGGCCACACACCATCACAGACCCATCATAAGGTTTTCCATTTGACATGAGTTGAAAACACCTTAACAAGCTGAGAAGGCCAGGTGTCCCCGAGAAAACACGCGAATGCGCACACGGACACCTGA